AGCACAGCCAGCTCCCTGGGTGCATTGCAGAGAGGTTGCAAAGCTCATTTTGAGCCTCAAGATATTTTGATTAAATGGAAAGAAATCAGGAAAGGAAGGTATGTCTAGGCTGGTGATCCGGGAATGCAGGGATTAGGGAGGAACGGAGAAGCAACTGTGCTTTTCACAGGATTTTTCAATCAATGGGACACTTAATCTCCTGCAAGGCAAATTCACTTGCAGTTAATTTATTCAAGATGGAACTGGATGAAGAAGTGATTAAGGAGGTTCAGGAAAGGGAGACTTCAGCTGTGGAAAACTTTAAATGGGATCGGGGCTCCTTGGAGGGAGTGTGACAGCGGAATGGACTTGGAAATGTTTTTCTCCACATTGGCAACAGTGGAAAAAAAATACCTAGTGGGAGTCCACGGAGACACAAGAACGGCGGCAGAGTCAAGAGACAGCAGCACAGGAGGATGTGGGACCTGAAAATGGGTCCTTGGTCTGACAGCAGCTTTCTGCATGCAAATAATTCTCTCTCTAGTGAATAATTTTATCAATCTGTGATGATTTTTTAAATCTTTAAATACAAGACAGCCCCACTGAAGAGCACAGGAAACACAGGACAGCTCTGCTGATGGCGAGGATCCCATCACCTTGTGTGGGCAGCAACGGACAGGCTGCCACTCCGGCCAGTTCTGCTCACCATGAGCAGAGAACCCTTGTGTATCCGTGACCAAGAGCCACCCCAAAACCACTCCTGGGACAAATATCTGTGGCCAAGTGCTGAGTGACCTCCACCGTGGTCTCATAGAGTGAGTTTGAGCCAGTGGCTGTTGCATTATTAAACCCAGATCCATCCCTTAGCACTGCCCAAAGCCCAGGGAGGTACAGCAGAGAGGTCAGAAGACGGTGACCTGATTTTTTTGGTCTCCCTATGGAGCAGTCCCATGGGCCAGGGGCAGCCAGGGAGGGAGCTTGGGGCATCAGGGAGGGGAGTGCTGGCTGGCAGTGAGAAGAGGCGCTGGGTCCGGGGACACCAACAAGCCATCCTGATGTGTGCTGGGTCAACAGCTCATTAAATAATATCAGTTGGGTCCAGCATTCGAGGGGCGGCCTCGCCAGTGCCCAGCACAGGGGCACGGTCCCTGCCCTGCTCCTGCTGGCCACACCACTCCTGATACAAGCCAGGATGCTGTTGGGCCTCTTGGCCACCTGGGCACCCTGCTGGCTCATATTCAGTCGGGATAGGATAGGATAGGGTAATTTAGGTTGGAAAAGACCTTTAAGATCATCAAATTCAACCATTAACCTAATATTGCCAAGACCACCACTAAACTATGTCTCTAAGCACCACATCTACATGTCTTTTAAATACTTCTAAATCTTACTGAGGGTACACTCAATTCCCTTGCCCAGATCATTTGTAAAGATCTTAAACAGAACTGGCCCCAATACTGAGCCCTGGAGAACACTGTGAGTGGCCACCAACTGGATTTAATTCCATTC